TCCCTGCAACGGGCCTCTAGTATATATATAATTTCAGAGAGGAAGGGAGCGCGAGAGAGAGAGATACAAACATCAATAATGAGAAAAATCATTGGTGTGATGGAGTGGCTGCCTCCTTCACACCCCCTACTGGGGATTGAATCCACACCTGGGCATGTGCCCTTGACAGGAACAGAACCTGGGACCCTTCAGTCTGCAGGCTGTCACTATTCACTGAGCCAAACTGGCTAGGGCACTAGCAATTTATTGATAGGGAAAACAGGCCATCTCTCCTATAGAATTACCCAGTCTAATTGGTAAATTTCATCCCCACAGTGATGCTTACATGTTCCTCTGTCCTTGAAATTTCTATAAATTGAGAGTTGTATATAGAGGTCTAATCAAATTCAAATTTCATTATTTTAGCAAGACTCTATAGAATGTGTGCTCTTTTTCAGAAGGCAAACAATGTATAGTTATCTCTTTTTATTAGTTCAGCTGTCATTGGTGATCAATTCCTAGAGTCTTTATTATTTAGGAAATACTAGAAAAATTTGGAACATCCCAATTCTATCATCCTTCCTCACTCACTTGTGGAACTACTGTAAGGAGAAATTTTACCCCAACTGCTATTTTATTAACTACTGATCTATTCTATATAGAAAAGGCATCATAAAAAAAAATGTGTACTTGCCCTTTACTTACCAGTTTTCAAAATAAGCTGTTTTCCTAGCATCTTTCACTGCATGTGACTATTTTTGTGTAGTTATGAAATTATAGATTAAAATAAACTGATGTGTTTTAACCCTTTTCATTTATCATATATATTCATACTCATAATTTCTTCCACAAACATTTTAATAAGGATTCTGGTGCCCATTGTTAATTTCCTTGCTACTTGATGTGGCAAGATGCATCAGGCTCATATTGCACATTTCCTTTGTTTCTCTAAAAAGCTCTGGCTTCTTTTAATGGAAACGGCTCTTTAATGTCACAGGATTCCCATGCCCGCTATTAGTTTCCACTCCTTCTAGGCCACTTCAGAAGACAGAACTTTGAAATATATACTACTAGAAGCCCAGTGCACAAAAATTTGTGCACTTGCCGGGGGGGGCGGGGAGGGGTCCCTCAGCCTGGCCTGTGCCCTCTCGTAGTCTGGGACCCCTCAGGGGATGTCCACCTGCTGGCTTACTCCTGCTTCCCAGGGGATCGGTCCTAACCTAGCAGTCAGACATTCCTCTGGCAGTCCTCCGGGGATGTCCACTTGCCAGCAGGAAGCAGTCCTAAGCTGCAGTCGGACATCCTTAGTGCTACTGAGGAGGTGGGAGAGGCTCCCACCACCACCGCTGTACTAGCAGCCATCAGCCTGGCTTGTGGCTGG